AAATTTTAAATATTCTAGTCAGATTCCTTTAAGTTGTTTATCATAGAAAGATATAATTTGAAATTATCTTACACTAGTCTTTTCATGTTCTCGAATGTAATATATGGAAAAAATATCAAGGTTTTATATTAAAAAAACAATAACTTTATTTCAGAAACAATCCTCTCAAACTATTACATAATAGCCGTTGAAATAATTACTTCTTTTGAATGAGTACACTGCAAGAATAATTAAAAGTATTTAATAGTAGAAGAAAAGCGAAGGATATCAAAGGGACATTCACATTCACAAGTCGAAAATTAACTGACAACGCCATGGCTAAAAAGAAAACGACAAACCAACAACAGTACACAAAACACAACATAGAAATCTAAAGACTGAGCAACACGAACCCCGCCAAAAAACAGGGGTGATCTCAGGTGCTCCGATGAATAGTACTCAAAAAGGGGAAAGTATCTGAAATTAAAGTCGATTTACGACATATTGAAGAGATTTTATAAAGTATAAATTTGGGATTTCAATCGTAAAACAAGTTTCGGTCTCTCTAAAATCCTATATTTCATATGTGAGGAATGTACTTGGTCATGACATTTCTGAAGGTTGAATTAATTTTACGGAAATACATTTTCTAACTTAATTTGAACCGAAAATAACTGTTGTAGAATGGGGATGTTAGTCATGCCAATTATACATTGGCTTATACACCCACTTTCATTTGCAAAGTACCTATACCGTATAGAACTATAATGATAGTCAATCAACTATCATACCAGTGCTGATCAGTTTAAGAGAATTTTCTCATACAAAATACCAGGATGTATGGATATTAGTGTTTAAAAGAGAGGGAGAAGATACCAAAGGGATATTTAAACTTATAAGTCGTAGACATGACAAAACACGACAAAACGACGAAAAGACAAACAACAGTACAGAAAACACAACATAGAAAAATAAACTTAATATTGTTTACATATACATTTATGACAATAGTTTGTCATAAATTCAATATAAACTGTTGCTGCGGCATGCATTTCCCGAAGATCATTAATCAAAGACTATGTTTATTGCAGACCATTGGTACTAGTGTTATCATATAGCAACTACATGTACATGTAGTCGGCTTTTTCATATTAGACATTGAACATAAGTTAATATGATATCATTGGAATTAAAAAGATTGTTGAACTTAGTTTTTTTTTACTCATTTCTACTAGTGCTTCGTAGTATCTACAAAGACATTCATGACTGAAACTGTAGACTTTAAATATATATGTTCCCACGCATATATTCCCTTTATTACTATTAAATAAACATTAAACGCAGATAATGTCGTCAAAGCAAATATTGCTTTACGAACGAGCATTGAAAAAGGATATTATAATGAAAGGCATATTCAGCATACATTGGTGTATAATCACATAAATAGGCCGATTAGTTCTTTGTCTATGACAATTAACTGGTCTACGACGGGACCTCCATCTGATCAAGGTTAAACATGAACTATATGGTCCTCTCATAATTTTACAATTCTTGGAATGAAATCTAGAGACCATGTGGTATAAATCGTAATGTCAGAAAGTAATTCAATATTTCAAATATTTAAGTCGGACTTAGTTGCTATTAAATTTGTTTATCAAAGAAAGATATACATGCACTATCAAATCTTACACTAGTCTGTTCATATTTCCGAATGTAAGAAAGGCAGCAACATTTACTAACCATAATAATATTGTTTACCTTAACATTTATGACAATTTGTATCTTCAGAATGAGAGAAGCTGAAGATAACAAGAGGATAAACATAAAGTTCATACGTCTTAGAGAAACTGACAAAACAATGGCAAAAGACGAAAGAAAAGACAAACAAGTCTACAAAACACCCCATAGAAAACTAAAGACTGACCAAAACGAACCCTCCACAAAACTGGGAGATTTCATGTGCTCTGGAAGGGTAAGCATATCCTTCTCCACTAGTGACATCCGGCATGTTTCCCATGGTACAAACATGTGAGTACAAATTCGGTAATAAGCCATAATTATTCGTCTCAATTATAAGTACATGTATATAAGGTAGATGCATATAAGTAGGAATGTTTCATATTTTTATTGTAAACATTAGATGTCTTATCTTATTTAATTTTGAAGTTGCAATATTTTACTCAGTGGAATCGTTCAAGCATTTAATGTCCCTATTTTCCCGATAAAAGCTGCTGAAATAAGAGTTTAAATTTGACGACGGCACAAATTTTAGACAAATGCTGTATTGCATAATTCTGTTCAGGAATGAAGACTTTGATTTATTATGACATTATTTCATTACTTCTCTACAGGGAACCATTTTATTATATGCAAATGTCATCAACTAAGATCCCTAGAATAATAGATCAAAAAAAGAAATGTTGAATCATATATAATATGCAAGACACAACAGCGCCTTTTCTTTCATTAAAAACCACGAATATGTTCCAATACTATCCAATTATATATTAATGTAAGGAAATGTATATAATTAGTTAAAAAGAAGAAATGGTATACAATTTCTTGATTTTATTGAAACAAATTGATTACCTCAATTATTTGTACCTGCTATATCTGGTCACAACTGGAATTAAGTCTACACTTAAATGCACGAAAATCAATAATCATAATTAAATTTTAATAGTATACTACCCACTCTGTCTTGGAGTAAATGCATTACAGCTTCCATAATGTACATGTTTACACAATGTAAACTTAAAAAGATTCCTATAACATCTAACTCTTCTAAACTAAACGTGTTATTAGTTAAAAATATAAGTTTCCTCTAATGATTTGCTTGAAAGTTAAGGGATGCTGGTTACAAGAAAGCTTTTAAACAAAGGGTTCCTAAAGGTAACCTTGAAGCTATCCCTTCGGAAGTTTAATGGACGCCATCTTGATTTGGTTGTTCGTTATGGAACATCTTTGTCTAAATGACCACTTATCGTTGCCACAGTGCACGTGTCGTCTTCTATTCTTTTATTGAGGTATCAACAAATGTTTACTTACCATGATCAGTAATACGGGTGACACTAGTAGAACATAGCTGCTTGACTTCCGGAACAACCGATTTCGCCCCTTGTTTATTTTAAAAGAGGATCATATTGATATTGCTTTAGTTTTCAATTTTGTATTTAGGCATTTTTGTTAAATGTCTGTGTTGTTTTTACCGGTAACATTCTTGTCTATCCTTGTTCTGACAACCTTGTTTTCATTTAAAACTTTTACATACGGATAAATGTAAGGCAATATAATTTACTAGGTTGATGGTTTATAAATTTGGTAATGTCTTGTTGTGTGAAAAGATAAAAAAAAAAATTGTTTCCTTTCAAATTAACACATTATGTCTTTTAGGATTACAGAATCTGCATTTGCCGACGGTGTATGAATTTCGCGATTGATGTCTTGGTGTGAGATAAGAGAAATTTACCAAACCGCTATCGATGATAACAATGTATTTAAGCCGAAGTAATACGGCAAGTGTCTCTGGTGGAACAGGAACTTCCTGACACCTCCGGAGCACCTTAATCAACCCTCGGTTTTGGTTGGATTTCGTGTTACAAAGTCTTGTGCATTATTGTTATTTGGGAGAAAAATAAAATATGCATTTTTGTATCTTTTAATTACCGGTATAACATATTCATATATTACCAAGTATCCTGTTTAATAAATGAATAAGCAATTCGAAATAAAGCTCTAGTTTGCATATTTTAGGTGAACTTGCATTGATTTATGTTTTTTATAAGAATCATGTATCTTTTGCAGGAACTGGCGTTTCCACGAATTCATTTCATATATTCAATTTTGATCGTTAAAACAATGTAATCAGTTTCAATCAATCATGAAATGAATTCATCTAGTCTTTTACTGGAATAACGAATTTACCGAAGCAGATCACGATACAGGGAATGTCAATTAGAATAAGTGTTCTAGTTTCCGGATGTTTTTCGCGGATTTTTAAAATATAATCAAGAGAATGTTGTCAAATGATTAAAGTTTTTCATCCATTTGTATAGCAGTAAATCAAATGAAAAAGTTTGCCTCATCCCATATATTTTTGTCTGATCTTTTTAGTGCAATTCGTCAAAAGTGCAATATATTTACGCTTTAACTTGCAGCACCGTTTATTTCCAATACAGTGGATCGATCTTTGCTTTATTGAATTCCATAATGCCGCAAAAGGCAATATACTAAATATACCTGTCCCTTGTTTTCAATGGGGTTAACAATATATATATATATATGTATTCAATCTTAAGTTTTCAATGTGTGGTTTTTAGATGGTTGTTTTTCTGATTGTTTTATTTCGACCATGTCTATATCAGTCTTTTTTTTTATTTCCGGCTGTGGATTTAATCCTTGTTACGTCCCTTTTATTGACCTTGTAACTGACTTATCTAAGTCAGAATATATTTAATCAGACGCTGATATGATTACGATATACTTCTAGTTCATAATTTGATGCAGTTTTCTCCTGTTCTTTGAAAGTAGTAGTATTTCGGTAAAAAAAAAATCTCCCACTGTACATGATTTAAATCTAATGGATTATTTGAAAATTTTGTGTCACCTGAAGGGGACACGTTAAGTTTTCATTTCAGTTTCCAAACATTCAATAACGTTTGTATTAGCGTACATTTTTTTGTACCTGCAGGTCGTCAATAGAGGAGCCTCAACTGCTTACACTTCGTGATCTTTTAAATTAATCACATATTTTTAATAGGGTTGGCGTCACTATTTTTTTAGTTTTCCATTCAATCATATAATTTTAAGGTTTTTGTGGATGGTCTTTTTGTTTTTATGTTTTCCTTTTGGTTATGGCGTTTTCTGTACTTCGGGTGTTGGTGGTTTATGTGGTAATTTTGACGATTCCTGTTGGTAGATTCTTATTTTTTTATTTGTTGTCATCCGAAGAAAACCCATTTGCAAAAAATCTGTACTTATGACGCTACAAATTTAAATACCATAAAACAAAAACAAATGAGTAAATATCTATTTTTATTCATACATAGTAAAATGTAATAACATAATGGTAGTGCACAGCACAATATCACATTTTGGCTTAAACAATCACAGGCGTATTAAACACAACATTTCATTAAATTCATGTAATCTTTCTCTACATACACTTTTAAATTATCTGTGTCCATGCAGTTCCCGACGGCAAAATTATACATATTCCCACAAAAGTCGTGCAATTCGTTTTGTAGTCATGGAAATTATTTTGAAGAAATATGTATTATTATTTTTCCGCAACGAAATGCATGATCGCAAATAACGTATTATTAGCAACATGTAAAAAAAAAAACAACTTCGACAAAGTTTACATTAATTAACGACAAACACATTACAATCAAAGACAAAGACACATATAAAAAAAAATACATTTAAACATTCATTTTTAAAAAATATAAAAATAATTCTCGACATTTCGAACAGTATTCAAATAATGTATTCTCATTTAATACGAGTACAAACATGAAGATTTTTCGATGTAAAATGAAAAATGCTGATAACAACATAAAAAGGGTGATTTCAAACAAGTGAACGAACGAGTACTCAAAAAGCAAATCGTAGCCAATAACTCAATTTTTACGAAACGAATTAAGTTTACTGTTCTCGCCAGCAAGAATGTAAACTTAATTTACCCATTGATCGAATTCTGTCAACGTATTAATCTTTAAAGGATCGCTATCTATATAATGCAACATCTTATTTATCAAATATTGATCTGATACGGATAATAAGATACTTCATAAATAATTTCGGCAAGTTTTATTGTTCTCTCATAAAAAATATTACGGGAATAATTATATACAGTTGTAGGTTCATCAGAATAATAACTTCATTAAGAAGATGATAAATACACATGTTGAGGTGTAAATAACATGGGGTACACTAATTGTTATGACAGTACAAGTATACAATTATTTATGATTTGGAGATGTGCCGAACTATCAGCTGAAGCAAAGAAAAGCTGAACAAATATTACACCGAACAGATGTATTTTCCACTTTCTTTAGTTAATTTCACAGTTCAATTAATCAGACGTACATTGATATTAAAGATATTATATATTAAACACCTTCTTTCCATTTAGGTATGTAATTATTATAAACGATAAGGTCGCGCACCTGAAGCCATTTCGTTTTCGTTGTTTTTTTGCACTATCGTGATTTGTAAGGCAATACCGAACTGATCTTTAGTTCAATGGTATGCCCACCAAAAAATCGCCCAAATTTTGCACATTTTGAAATATAAAAATCTTATAGTCCTCCAGAAATTAAGAAAAAAATCTTTATTGTAATCATCTAAATTTCTTTCCAAAATAAAATTTCATCTCGTATTTAACTTTTTTAAATGGATTTCAGCAAAAGAAATAATAATTTGCTCTCTCTTTTTTATCTTCCTCTACCAAATTATTACTAAAAATTAAATTTGCGTAGCCTGAATAGTGCAATAAATATCAGATGTGAAATGAAATCAATATTTTGTTGCATGTAAGTAAGCTATTCACTTTAATTAGGCATATAAATCAACTAATTAAAACATTTAAACAAAATAATTGGCACTTAAATGAAATAATTATTAGACACTTAACACACACTTGACCTAAACGAAATATATTGAAGTGGGAAGTAATTTGGCATTGAACATGAAACGAAAAATATTTGTTACAAAATAAGTAAATCTTTGACACAATTGGAAAGCTAACATAACGTAAGATATGAAAACACTAATACACAAAGTTTGAGGAAATCATTTTCAATGACACTCGTGAAGACAGTTAATTATTCATTACTCAGTTAAAATGACTGATGAAACAAAAATAGAAACATGATGAAAGGAATACAAAATATAACCTCTTTGTTTTTTGCCTGGAATGTGGCCATCAATCGATCACTGACTAGGAAAGTCTTTCTGTACTTCTATCTCACAATTATGCAAAAGTTTACAATAAATTAAAGCTTCTTGAATTTTGTATTGTTCATATTTTGAACACGTTGTCCATGTTTTCAGTACTTTTCTAAAGTCTTGATTACAAAATCCGTATAAGAATGGATTAATAGCAGCGTTAGTTGCTAAAATCCAATACACGATTTGTTTAACAGTTTGTGACAAGTCTATACTGGTAAATGTATCTATAATAATTGTAATAAAGTATGGAGTCCAGCAGATAAACGCAATGAATGTCAATAGACTTACACATAGCACTGCTTTCTTGTCTTGACGCAACAAATATCCTTTTACAACTTCGTCACTTTGTTTTCTTGTTGGAAAAGAGTTTTTAAATCCTTGCATTTGTCGTAGTTTGAATCCAGTAATAAGGGTAGCAGTGTCCATTGAAGCGCTTCTCCCTTTCGCTCCCAAGAGCATACCTTGACGCATAACTTTTTTACCAGTAAGTGTACTTCTTCTATTTCCTTGATACACAATTGTTTGTCTACGGACATTTCTAAATTCACGGCGTGGTGGTAGAGGAGATACGTCATCTTCAGAATTTGGATTGCTGGTACTTTGATTTGAGTCATTCGAGCTTTTTCGTCTCGTTTCAAACATATAGGTTTCAGTCGTACTCAAAGAGCGTCTAATCTTCGTGTTGTTTCGACGTCTTAAAAGTTTTAAATAAATCCCAATGTTGAGGGATATCAGCACAACCATTGGAAGGACATATTCTAGTACTGAGGCACTAACGTTGATCACAAGACTATGTTGATTTGGAATATGGCAGAGTTTTTCTGGAGTAATGTCACCGTATAAACTCTGCCAGCATATGGCTAAAGGAATGTGTAATACAAGACTGGACATCCAACAACAAGCGACTAGTATACATGCAATTTTCCTGCTCTGTTTCACGCGATACGAGATGGGAAAATGTATTGACCACCATCTATCAACTGTTAATAATATCATACTTAATAAAACAACAAAGTATAAGGCATACCTTATCATTAAGTAAGTCCAACATAGTCCTTGTGATAATGCCCACTCTCTGTTTAGTGTTTGTAATATAGAAAACGGCATCGTTAATCCAAGAAGAAGATCAGCACATGCGAGACTCAAAATATAAATGTTCCTGCATCTTCGAATACAACGATTTCGTAAAAATATCACTAATATGCCACCATTTGCAATAATCGTTGTAATAACTAGGGCCACAAGTGGCACTGCTGTCAACCAAAATTCCCAATTTCTCTGATTTTGTTCATTTTCATCAGAAAGACGTTTGAAAACTTTTGAAGAGTTTTTATTCAGTAAATGAACAATTCCATGTTCACCACCGGGATAGTATTGTATTATTTCCATTGTTGTATTAGTATCTAGATCCATTTCTATGCAACATAGCTATCAATGAAATTATTTCCAATGTGTTTTATATTCCTACTACAAATCTCTGATAATAACACAATCGATATGACTAGTAGTAGATTGATATTAACCCACCAAGCTCTCAACACAAAATGAGTATTAACGTAGCGATGCTTTCATTATAAAAGCAGACATAATTAGCATCGAAGCTATCGTTAATCCTGATTCTCTGAAACTGACAAGGACAATATTGATTTATATACAGACTCTGAGTAGGCTCGTATTTATCACGATATCCAATCTTTTCCATTCGTTGACATATTAGTTTTTTAAGCTTGGGCAATTAATACCTACACATCCATCCAAATCGTCTCAAAAAACTCTAGACGCGATCGTGTTACATTTTTGAAATCACACTATCTTTATCAATTTTCAAGTTAATTGATATTTGTGGAATAGAATCATATCCGCCCCGATTTAATTCAATAATTTTTGAAGAATTACATATGACCATAATTGGTTCTTTAAATTATTAAAAAAGAAACATATGTAATGATATAAATCCGATTTTTGAAATTAGAAAAATAAATATGATTTATTGTTTTACATGCAAATAGACTTGCTATAAATACACAAATGAACACGGTTGACACTCCTTCCGATAGCAATGCTGAAAACTCTTTTAATGGTTAAATTTCATAGTTTTTTATTAGGATAAGAATATAAAAGGTGATGTGTATATCTGGGAACAGTATATATATATATATATACATGTTCCTGTTTATATGTAGTATTTATTTAAATGATATAACAAATAAAAAAAAAAGTTTTATCTATTTTAAATTTAATTATAATTTGAAAGTGCTCTACACTAACTCTATATATATATATATAAAGAGATGTGATTATGATTGCCAATGAAACAACTATCCACCAAAGTTCAAATGAAGTGGATGTAAGCAATTACAGGCAACAGTACTGCCTTCAACAATGAGAAAAAACCATACCGTAAAGTCGGCTTTAAAAGGCCCTGACATGGAAAATATGAAACAATTCAATTGAGAAAACTAACAGCCTAATTTATAACAAAACAATTTACGAAAAAACAAAATATGACAGACAGGAACAAATGACAACAACTGAACTACAGACTACTGACTTGGAACAAGCACATATAGAACATGTCCAATTTTACAATATTTTGCAGTCATCGTCTGCAGTTCATTGCATAATACGAGTACAAGCGATATTTATGATTTGTGTAACGGGGATAAACTTGATGAAACTCATGTAATCTGCCACGATTTGGACAGGGCGCATATCCATAGCCTTCAAAATCAACCAATCAGAAGTTAGAAAGGAAAAATAATATCAAAACCATTTTCAATATTCAAATGAGATAAGTTGAGTAAATTAGATAAGTGCAGTAAATTTATTATAATTGTGCAATACATAGATGATATTAGTTTTTCTGACAAATGGTTGTTTTTAAACAATTCTGTTGTTAAGTAACTGACGCTACTGGTTTAATTTGTTAATACATTTTGTAGCTGGCACTTAATTCATTTCTTAAAAGTAATTAAGAAACACTTTACCGCTTTAATGAAAGAAAAATCAATCAATGAAATCAACAATAAAAAGTAAGAACAAGTCAATTCCCGATTATTTTTAATATTATTTATGCATCTTGTTATACAATATCTGTCATTTATAATCTACAAAATTTATACGCACTATCATACACTAACTCATCAAGATAATCTCTTCCTTAACTAGTTTAACATGATATATTAATCCCATGTGTAATTTTAATGCTTTGGTTTGCAAACAGTTGATATAAATACAACGTTCGGTAACTCCAGACTAAAACTAAGAAAATCAATTGATAAAACGTAGGAAATCTTAGCAAATACATAAGGTTCACTTGAGGATAAGATTTCTAGTACATGTATGAAGATTAAGGAGAACGATTCTTAACACATTTCTTTATTATTTACCCCAAAACATGATACTGTCTTAGCAAATCATTATATATTTTGATCAGTTTAAAAATTATTTGGTAATACACACAAACAATCTCAAGGTTTCTAGTTGTGGAACGATATGATGTAAACATTTTGAAGGCCACAACATTATAGGTTCCAAGGAGCCTAATTCGCTCATCCTTCAATCAATCAGTCCATATAAGTAATTTTAAATTAAAAAAAAGAGGAGATCTTGTTTGATTGTCAATGTGACAACTATCCTCCTGTGACCAAAAGGACCAGCGACCCTTTTCACAAAAAATCTTACGATTAAAATTTATCGTAAGTGTATGACTTACGAGCATTTTTACTCTTAAGATTTGTTGTGAAAAGAGCCGCAGGATGTAAACAACTACTGGTCACCGTACGGCCTTCAACAATGATCAAATCTCATACCGATAATACACTATAAAAGGCCACGTCCAAATAAAATGTGAAACAAAATCATAAGACTGATTCATGCTAAAGCAAGAATGTGTTCATAGTACACGGATGCCCCACTCGCACTATCATTTTCTATGTTCAGTGAACCGTGAAATTGGGGTCAAAACTCTAATTTGCCATTAAAATTAGAAAGCTCATATCATAGGGAACATGTGTACTAAGTTTCGAGTTGATTGGACTTCAACTTCAGCAAAAACTAACTTGACCAAAAACTTTAACCTGACTTGACCAAAAACTTTAACCTGAAGAGGGACAGACGGACGGACGAAGGAACGGATGCACAAACCGAAAAACATAATGCCCCTAGGTGGGGCATAACAATACACGAAAACAAAATATGTCTAGCAGCAACCAACAACAAACATTGAAAACAGGCTCCTGATTTGAAGACAGACATATAAATAAATACATTTTGACAGGAACGTTTCAAAGTGCAGTTGGACTAGTGGTATTCCACTCATAAAACGTCTGAAATATGGCTCAATTGAAGTTACAATTGTTTGAATGTAAGCCGCCGTTTTAAACAATAAAAAAACTACAATCAATAATTTTAAAAGAAAATAATACTTCGTAGTAGAAATTATGTATAATAAATTATACAACACATATCTGATAGAGTAAATTGTTAACCCTTGAAAATACATTGTCAACCGAGGCGAAGTTGATCTGGATAACAATCTGCTTTATTACCACCTCAGCTAAATTTTATTTATATGTTCATGACTTGGGAATATAAAAATATTACTTTATGAGAAACATCTTAATTGTAAAACATTAATCTCAGTGCCTTTATTAATATTTTTGGGGAGCCTAATATGCATATTACAGATTTCAGTTTAGCTAGGTAAAAGAGATGAAACCAGAAACTTGAACTATAGTTGGAAGGTAAAGGTAAAATACAAAAAAAAAATGTATAACATGACGATTAGTCAATGTGAAAAGGGGGGTTTACCAATGGTTGATTTTAAAAGTTATTTTATGGCGCCCAAGGCAATATATGTTCATGCATATAGATAAGTAACTGCTAAACCTGCCACTCAAAAGCTTATTCCTTAAAATATTCAAAGGTCTCTGATAATATTTGGTTCCTATTTACATGTAACATGCCTATGAATATAAAAGATCTGAATTTAAAAGATATATAAAGTTTTGAGAAGTTTAAGTTCCAGTGATGTAAATAAGGATGTTCGCTATTCTGTTTCAAAATAATAAGCTTTTTAAAGGACTGTTATAAATTGATAGTATATAAAGGAACTAAAAAAGCAGAAAAAAATGAAGGGTCCGTGTGCTTGTTTTCGAGATATAAGACATTGAAAATTTGGCGGGAAATAATTCTCTCTAGCCTTTTCATACATTTAACATTGGCACCCTTTTTCTTTAAAAAAATATGAAAAATAACAAGGATTTTATAGCATTTTCGAATATGGCTTTTTATACTATATGTAATAAAATTATGAAAAGAAAAGTAGGGGTTAGCGGGGAAATTTTTTTAATGGCAGTACATGGATAAAAGCAGAGGATTCCGAATATCGGGCAAAAATTCAAAAAACAAGAGGTGCGAACATCCTTAAGTCTTAACTAGACTGGCCTTGCGGTCATAAAACTTTCGAGCACGATTTTCTTACTCAGACTCAAAAATCAACCAATCAAAATCCTGGATTTGGTGTTTCGAGCACAAATTTTGTACTCCGAGTACTGAGTAAAGTTTTATGACCTAGAGCCCTGGTGGTGGGCAATATAAAAACAACAAGTGACATTTTATGATGTAAGAAAACGAATGTGAGGGAATACTTTTATTATATTATGCAATAAGCTAATTTTCTTTGAAAACTGGATTAAGTGTGATATAATATACATATATGACATTATTTAGAAAAACAACATTTTAAACAAATTGAAGTGTAAAATAAATTGGATTCCTGAATTTCATAAATTGAAATAATATTCCCAGATGAATGGATTTATATTGTGATTGTTAAAAATACAAATTTGATTATAGAAATACTGTAACAGAAATTGTTCAAAAATAGAATTATATGGAAAGATCATTATATTGAGACTTCAAGTTTTGTCAAATAAAATATTATATAATTCATATTATGTGATAAAACAGAGTCATCAAAAAGAATAAACAGATAACAACGAGTTTTGAAAATGCAAGACAAGACAAGACAAGACTCTTTAATAGCCTTTAACACGATCAGTTATACAAAATGTTAGAAAAATACGATATTGCATTTGTGACAAAGAGAAATATGATAATAAATACAAAAACTGACCAACAACAAACAAACAAAACAATATACAGATCTAAATAACAAAACAGTTAACATAATTGTTAGCTTGGAAAACACTTTCAATTACGATTGAGACTACAATAGATTGTTAACTTTCAATTTATTTTTGACAAAGCTGTCTTTAAAACATATAACAATATTTCTATTTTCTGTACATGAAATACTGATAATATTCCTTTTATTTCAATTTCGTTTGGATTTAAGCTGTAATATGTGGGAAACGATTTTTTTCTTAGTTCAATTTTCACATATGAATAGATAGTGAAACTAATCCCCTACTGTATTCTTACAAAGATGACAAATTCTGTTCTCTGCTGGATACATGAACAGCGGTCTGTTTCAATTAGAAACTTTATTTTTGAACATCTCAGATTCGTCATTTGCATATTGTAATGTTGGTTTAGTTTATAACCAAGGGACGATCAAGGCAGAACTCATTTTTAAAATTGGAT